AGCAACGAAATAATTATAAAAATTTTTAAAAAAATATATACATATTAGAAATCATATCATATAATTATTTCAAAATAAATTCTCTATCAAAATATATTTTTTTAAAAAAAATGTCCTCTTCACTTATCAACAATAATGTATTTTTCATCTCGATAGTTTTATTATGTTATGCTTCAATAAATTTGATATCAGCCAAGAGTGATTGCGACCTCAGTAAAGACATCGTTCTGAGTGTGAAAGATGATGGAAATTATTCCTTAACTTTTGCGGGATATCCTAATTCTGTTTTTTATTACGTGGAAATCTATAAATTGTTAGGAGATATAGAAAGTTTCCCAATAAAATCATTTTATGTAATAAAGAAAAGTATTTATTTTAATTTTTTTTATAATTTTATATATAATATTACATATTATCTTTAAATTGTTTATTTTATCATAATAAAATGAGTTTTATATATATATTATTTGACATTATTATATTTTGTGGCTATAAAAGACTTAATAAAACTCTCCCATGCCTAATCCCACATTTCTTAATATACGTATTTTATTTTTAATAGACCGTGAATAATGCAACAAACGCGAATGTCACACTACAAGGAGCTGGCGACTATGAAATAGACATATTCCCCTTCACAATTTATCTATTGTTTCCTCATTGTGCTTACAATAAATTTACAATAGCATAAAGCATAAAAGTAAATATAATTTCGTCGTTTATATTTTATATTTATTATTAAACATTTTTTTTTGTAAATTAAAATATTTTTTGTCAGTTATAGAATTGGAACAAACCAGAAGAAGCCCTATGAATAAAACCATAATTATTTTCATATTATGTTTCCCACTTTAGAATATATTGTTTTAGATTAATTTAATTATGATCAATAATTAAATTTAAAATGTTTAAATCTTAAATATTTGAGCACTTTCGTATAGGGGAGACCGAGGTAAAACGATAGGCATTTTGCATATTTACCATAAAAATTTTAAACAAGAGTCAAACACAACAAATTATAGATCAATGTGTAGCCCCATCTCTCTTCTACAAGATAAAAAAAAGTGTAGCCCTCTACCTATAATATTTTAGGAGCTATGATTAGTTATGTAAAACTACTCATTTTCGCCATTTTACCCTGGGTACAGGGTAAAATGGATAAGCACTAGGGTAAAGTGGTTAAAATAATATTTGACACATATTTATTGTTTTATTTAACAAATATTACAAATTTAAGATTTATTTATGATTTTTATTTAAAAACTAATCGATACAATAAGGACATGTAAAATAATTATCATAATTAGAATGTGCCCATTCAAGGCACATTGTACATTTTAGCCATTCATCGCCCTCGCGACTATTTTTATAGTTTTTATTACAAATAACACATAAACAATTATTTTTTGATATCTTTTTTTTTCTCAGAATTAATAATTTTTTTTTATAAGGTGTAGATGTTAATATTTCTGAATTCTTTTTTTTAGATATTTTATCCGATGAAATATTGAATAATTTTGGAATAGGTATTATAGATGAAGGATTGAATACTTTATTATAATTTTTTGAGCATGATGGTAACATATCATGATAAGGTACATCAATATCATCTGGAACATTTTCGTTCAATAATATAGATAAATCACTATCATTATTTTGAGTCACTGTAAGATTTTGAGTCACTGTAAGATTTTGAGTCACTCTAATATTTTCATCATTATTTTCAAATTCAATATTTGAGTTAGCATTTGAATTATTACAGCAGATATAATCTTGTTCTGTAAATATATTTGGGTTTAAAGGAAATATGCCACATGCTAAGAATCCATTTAATATATTATTTGATGTCACTGCCCTTGGTATTTCATTTTTTAACACTCCTGGTATATCATAAATCTGAAATTGTTGCCCCACATGATTTTTAGATTGAGCATTATTAAAATTATGAAATACAATATAATTTCAATTGAGCATTTTTATTAAAGTCACCAAATTAATAATATTTAGATTGAGCATTATTAAAATTATGAAATACAATATAATTTCAATTGAGCATTTTTATTAAAGTTACCAAATTAATATTGATATTTAGATTGAGCATTATTAAAATTATGAAATACAATATAATTTCAATTGAGCATTTTTATTAAAGTTACCAAATTAATATTGATATTTGAATTGAGTTATTAAAATTATGAAATACAATATAATACAAACAATATAATTTAATTACTTGTTTAGGCGTTAATCCCATAAATGACCTACTTGCTTCTAATATGTAGTCACACAATCTAGATTCTTCTTCATTTGTAAATATTTGTTTATGATGATCTGAACTTTTAATACCAATTTTACATCTCCTTCTCAACGTTGTATAAGGTATGTTAAATTTTTTAGCAGACAAATTTAATGAAGTATTATTTGTTATTTTATATTTTATGGCTTCATTTATTATATTTACATCTCTGTATATGGTTTTTCTTTTATAATTTTACTTATTTGATTGATACAATAAAAATTATAATAAATGAATTAATGAAAAATTAATGTGAATAATTTTATATTTTAACCGTTTTACCCATAACAGCTTTACCCCTAGGTGACATATATTATAAATATCGTTATTGCGTGACTTCTAATATAGCTAAAGATGTCAGATAAATTTTATTTTATAGCTAATACATTAAGGAACATGTGTGCCAAATTTTGAATCCTGAGGATATGTAAATTTTACTAAAAGCAAAATATACTAGAGAATGATTTTTATATTTTTTGGGTAAAAAACAGTTTTTTGACAAAATATATAAAACCAGGTAAGTTTTTTAAAAGTTGAACATAGGTAAGAAATTAGATATAAAAATACATCTTCACACCAAATTTAAGGTCTTTATACTCAATGTTTAAAAAGTTATTCGCGTTAACATTGTTACCCCGTCAATCGCTTTACCCCGGTCTCCCCTACATACATATATAAAATATAATGATCATTTTAAAAAAATATAAAATTATAATTTTTTTTCAAATTAACGGGCTTTCTATAAAAATGAAAATGGGACTATATATTTCTTCATTTTAGAAAAATAAATAAATATTCTTGGGGTTTTATTATAATGGCTTTAATTTTGCCGCCTATATTTATAAAAAATGATAATTATAGTTCCGCTTGACATATGTGCAAGGGAATAGATTATGTTTGCTCTTCTCAATAGCATTCCATAGGATAGGTATTCAAACTCAGGAATGGGGATTTTAATCTAAACAAATTTTTATAAAATTACTCCAACTAGATAAATTTAAAATATTTTTAAATTTAAACAGACCACAATACAATACATATTAGATGCTAATTTATAATGCCAATATTTTGTTAAATCTTTAATTGTTATCATATTTATTATAAGAAATCTACTAATTTTACTTCGGAGATACCCTGTTGATTTAATGAATATAAAAAATCATATATAAGTGCTAAAAATAAAATTCAGCGATAACAAATTAAAATATCTATTTGTTTAACCTAATTCTATTAAAATTGTTAATTTTTTAATATAGTCTCCAAAAAATATAGCCTAATATTATGTTATAAAATATCTGTGACTAAATACCTTTATTAAATCTTTTAAGGTGTCTTGTATAACCATTTGAGGTAATATCTTGTATCCGCACCGTAATTAATAATTTTTAAACAGTTTTTATAGCTGTATCTAGATACTTGTTACCAAAAATTGTCAAACTTTGAATATAATATTTGTGTATAATGTGAATTTCATGATAAATCAACCCCTGGTCCCTCATATTTTTCTAAAATTTTTACTAGTATTAACATATATTATAACTAAAAATAAATTTAAATTTTAGCTTGTAACTGCAAACAGCGGCTGAGATACGGGTCGATAAAATCGAAAGAATGTGGCATTTTAAAATTCACTCCCTTTAATTTTAGATATCTTTGTTAATTAAGCTGGTTGTTACATTTAAACTTCTTTGAATAGCCTAATGGTAGGCCCGCAGAGATATATATTTTTAAATTTTTATAATGAAATTGAAATTCGTATACCAAAAACCAGAAATAGAAAACCAGAAATGATCTTAAAATTAAATCAATTTTTTCTCTCATTTTTTTAATAAATATTTGATAAATCATAAATTTATATTAAAAGAAATATAAGTAAAATATTTAAAACAAAACAAATAAGCTAGATAAAGAACAAATATGGTTCAAAGTAGAGATCTGCAAAAATAGGCTCGGTCCGTACCCGAACTGGGCCTAATATTTTTATAAGAAAATTTGGGCTGAACCGGGTCGGGCCTTAGAAATTTTTTAAAATATATCTAAATTTATTAATTTTAATGTTAAATATTTTATGTAAAATAAAAATATGTGGTTTTATTTATAGAAAGTAGACGCCATATAACATATATCCTATATTTTGAGTAATTATAAAGATTAATTTTTATATTTAAATAAATTCGGGCCGGGCTGGCGGCAAAAATTTAAAAAAAAATTTGGGCCGGGTACGGGTGGGCCTACTTTTGCATCTCTATAAGAAATTTTATTCTTTGGATAATTAACGAGAATAAATTATTAACAATTAACGATAATCATTGCAAGATTTGGTAAAAAAATTCTTACTTCAAAGAGTATCATGTAATGTATTAATGATGTTGCCCTAGAACATCTAAATATTTATTACCATCAATGTGAGAGACATTAATTAAGAAGAATCGCTTAAGCTCTATGTTTATAAAATTGAAAATTAAAGAAAAAATTAATAAGTTCCAATGGGATTAAAAACCAATTAAAAAATTAATATTTTTGAATATCATCAAGATTAGCCTTGAAATGAATTAAAATAATAAAAATCAATAGTAATAAATTACAATTAATTTTTATTTTTAATACTCAAATTGGAATAAAAAAATTTTTTGGTTCCCTTAATTATTTTTTAATTATAAAGACCATTTTTAATTTTATTTTCTGATTATAAATAAGAAAAAATATTTATTTTAAAATATGCAATAATAATAACTCCTGTAAAAATTTGTAAAAAAATCTAGGATTTTTTTTAGTTAAATTAATCAGTAGAAAACTAGAAAGTTAATGAATAATCCCACATATCATTTCCCCATGATATGTTTAGCTAATATTACTACTAACAATTACGAAGCGAAGAATATTCGATGGTTCGAAAAGCTATTTTACGTATATTTCCTGGGACCACTTCTCTTCTTAGGTATTATAGGTAATATTTTATATTTTACCTTTAACTTAAAAATGAAACACAACGACATTTCTCACGGTAACAGCGATCAAACTCATCACAATACGAATATAGTAAGCAAAGACTCTAATAAGCTCCATAGCCATACAAGCAATATTGTTTCCTTCAGGCCATCAAAAAAAAATAGGAACGCCTCTACAACTCATTTTTACGTCATCATATACGCGATTCTGTTGTGGGATGTTATCGCGTGCGTCAATTTAATTTTTTTCCCCTTCCTTTATTATTCAAGTAGCGATTTGGGGATTTCAAATAAAATATTCATGATTTTTAGCATTAAGGTCACTCTGTTAATGGAGCATATATGCGCCGCGAACGTAAATTGGGATACCACAATTTTATCCATGAACAGATTTATGGCCATATACTTCCCCCATCGATTTGCTAACTTAACTAGTAGTCATCGTCCTAATAATGAAGGCGAAAACGAGGTGGCCACGAGCAAATATAGTTTGAAAAAGTATTTGAATCATTTAAGCCAATTCTTTGGTCATCGTTTTATACTAAAGAAGACCCAAAAAAGCGCTTTGATATTAATGATTTCGATTTGTTTTGCTTCGATACTTATTTCCATGCCTTACCTATTCTATGTGGACATAAAGAGGGGTTTGAATTACGTGAGCGCTATTCAAAATACGACCGCGATATTATACCCCGTTTCGTGCGAGTCATTCTTTAAAAAGAGCATAAAATTTAATTACTATTTTAAACTGAGTAAATTTTATCATAATTTTTCTCCTTACTACGACAAATTTTTTAGTATTCTGGTGTATCTGTTACCTACATTGTTAATCACAATCTCCAATGTTTTTATTTATATTAAATTGAAGAAACTCAAAAGAACTGGGGTCGTTAAATCGCCTTTAGATTCAAAAACTGCATCAAACTATGAAACTAGTTTAACAATGGCTAATCAAATCACTAGACCCAGCGTGTTAGATCCTAATGTTATGATGGGTAAACTATCCAGTAATATTATTCCTAATAACATTCTCCCTCTCACCCAGAAATTACGACAACAATTGCTAAAGAACGATCCAAATTTTAAGGAGGCAAAGAAATCTTCAAAATTGTATTTCGAAAAATACGTTCTAACTCTAGCTATTGGCATCGAATTTTTGTTATTAAATTTGCCATATGTAATTTACGTTTTTGCGACAAATGAATCTTGGGTAGAGAATTCCTCAAGCAACATAATCAAAATTCAAACTATAGTGTATTTTTTAAAGCATAGCAATCATTCCATAAACGTCTATATCAATATTATCTATAATTCGGCTATGAGATCCCTGATCATGTTTCAATTGAATAAATGCTACAAATAATAAATAATTATTTTTTAGATATTATAATATTTTTTTTGATCTTCTTTTATTCAATAATAATTGTCATTCTTTCCTTTTTTAAATTTATGGATAAAGAATGATAAAATTTTATAGCATAATAGTGATGAATAAAATAAAATAAATATTTCAAAAAGAAAAAAAATGGACATTTTGGAATAAAAATATTAAAATAAAAGTGAAGAAATGAAAGAATTATAAGACATTGATTAGAAACTTGAGAGATAGTAATTTTATTTGTAGCCCTCGTTGAGTTTATTATCATTTATGTCTTGACATGGAAAATGGTGATGAAAAATTAATTTAATGTAAGATTTTTCTTAAAAAAATCGTACTATTTAACTATTTATGCAAAAAAAAGAAAGGTTGAATTATTATCTTGAATAATTTTAATTATATATTAGTTTTATATTCATATGTTTTGATCGATTTTGTATTATATGATATATGATTTTCTTGCATGAAATTTGCTATATAATATGTTAATTATGGGAAAAATTTATGTAATCGCTTCTTGAAGAAGGGTTATCATTGACAGAATTTTATATTACCATTACCTATAAAAAAATCTCAAGTTGCCTAATTTATTTCTGTACACTTACTCTCTTACCTTACTATATTTTCCTCCCTTATAAGAGTCTAATTTCAAAAATTATAATATCATCCCTCTATCACTTTTTCCCTTATAATTTTTACCCCCCTAGTCATACCTTAAGCCTCAACATGGCGGGAGAGTGGCAATGTTTTCTGGCGACTAATAAATAAAGGGTTCCCTGTGAACTGGGTTTGGAATATAATCACCGCCTTCTCGAAGGAGTGTAAAATGTCACCCAAGGGTGTTGATTCCAGGAAGGGCACCTGATTGTAAAAAGTCCAGCTCCAAAATCCCTAATGATTACAACCATGGGCGGGGTGCAGCCCAAAGTACCCAAGATCCGCCTACAACCTTGATGGAATCACGATTCGTGAAAACGAAACATGTGACGGTCATACGACTTGTATTGAAGAAACCAGTCTATTCGTGATAGGGTAAGAGTTGTGACGCAGAATGCACGAAGCTTGACGGGATAAGCAGGAAAAGTGGTTTATGAACTGCATAGAAGACATATAGATGTGTATCGCGTACGAGAGATTAGATGGAAAGGCAATGGCGCAAGAGTGATAGGAGGAAAATGAAAAGTATGAATTTTTCTGGCAAAGATGTAATTGGAGTATTTGTTGCAGAGAAATGGGTGGGAAAAAGTAATAGAAGTATGAAGACTAGATAGCCAGATAACGATTATCAAGATGATCTTTGGTAGAAGGCTAAGCAATATTAACTCGGCAAATTCTCCTCTGATTCGCAGAAATGGTGATGCTATGAAAATGCTTGTTTGTAATACAATGTTTTAGAAAGAATTATAGAAATTGGCAAATCCGTAACTGATATTGGCAATAAAATTAGCACACGAAGCTTAATAGGAAAAAACGTAGATGAGGATGAGATGGATGTGTGGGGTATTCTGAGAGAGTGAAACTAGTAAGGAATTGTGAGCAAGGATGGGAATATAAGTGATAAGAGTGGTAATAAGAAGAAATAAACTTTGGGCGTGTGGAATGTAAGACAAAAGATTACTGGGTAAAGAGATTCACCTTGATGGAATTAGGAGAATCAATACTCGAGGAAAGCCTAAGATGACGTGATAAAGGTGGGCTAGCATGAGAAAAATAAATCTACAAATATTCGTCAAAAATGGAGAAGGAAAATTAGAGGGGAAACTGGCTTACCTGGGTAAACCCGAAAATCACCATTAAAAAGAGAGGAAAAAGAATTTTACTTTTATCAATATTTCAAATTTTCTCACTTTACTATTTAACAATTTTTAACATTATTTTCAATTTACTTGATCAAATTTCATTTTATCCATATGGCAGTATATCAGATAATCGAAAGAAAAAAAACAAGTATATCATAAAGGAAAAAGATAAAAGAGCAAAGGAGAAAGAATTGAGCTTAATAAAGAGAAATAGCAAGCTAATAAAATTAAATACCATTTTCAATTATCTGGTACTCTATATTAGTGGTCTTGCAATGGGCGGACATCATTTTATTAGATTTATTAATGTTTTATAAATTAGATAAAATATAGAAAAGGTATATAAATTCCCTAATACAATAAAAGGATATAAATAAGTAATGGATTTAAATTAATTTTACCAAATCAAAAATGATAAAATATTTATTACAAGTTATAAGGATATCAATAAATTATAATTCGTTGCATTTTAATTATACTTTTTTTTTACTTTAATCCTTTTTAAATAATTTATTAAATAGATATTTTTTAAAATAATCTAATTTAATAAGAGAATATTCTGACGTCTAAAGAGAGTTTTTTTTTTTTAAAAAAAGGGTGAATAAAAATTAAATTATAATATTTATGATTTGTAATTTAATTTTTTTTAAAATACATTTTTTTAAAAAAATGTGTAAATCATACTATGACTAGTAAATCGTAAATCAAATTGCAAGAAAATAATAATAAAGAACTCACACGATTTTGATTTTGCATGGCAAGCGAAGGGTTAAACCGCCCGATTTGGGTCAATTTTTAATAACTAGGGAAAATAATAATATGTAAGCCAGGAGATTTTACTGATAGAGTGCAGACAGGATTGGACCTCTATTTTAAAAATCTCGAGGCTTACAATAATATTATTGTGGTTGAAATTTTAACAACACTACGAAGAAGATATAAAATAAATATATGAAAAATACAAAGCAAACATGAATGAGATATGATAAGAGGAAGCTATGCACGGTGGTGTCAAGCGCTAACCTATTTTTTCAAAAAGTGATATACAAAATATTGATAAAATGTTTTCGCTTAAATTTTCATAATAATTAATGATTCAATATTTTATTTTAAAAATATGTCTCAGAAGATAAAAAGAAATTATTTTTTTCACTCTTACGACCATTTAGAAATTTTTGCCGGCCGCGGAGAAAATCTCACCCATTGCAGGTTTACTACTCTATATTTTAATTAAAGTGTAAAGTTGATATTTTTTTTAAGAATTACCTTCTTTTTTTTTAAATAAAAGAGAAAAATATATAAATCATGAGGTTGATCAAAATATAATAATTAGAAAAGAATTATAATATTTTCGCGTCAATGCTATCTTTTCAACTATCATATTTTAAGCGTTTTTTTTTATCTTTTTCAAATTTAATCTTACCGAATATGTATTTTGAAATATTTAAAATACCTAAACACTTCGAGAGAATAAAATAAATTTTATTATAATGACAATGTTTTTTTATGAAAAATACATTTTAAACTAAAAACAAACACGGTCTGAAGAGGTGAGTCACAAGTAAAAATAACACATTGACTGGAAACACACATTAAAAGCATACATACTTAGGGAAGATAATTTCTTTGCTTTGAAAGAAAGGAGGGAGATTTAAAGTCAGAAAAGCCAAGTCAAAAATTTCTATACGCGGGAATAATTTTTTAAATTGGGGCAAAATATTTTTTCGGGTGAGGGAACATAGCTTATTAGACTCCCCTTTTTCTCTCCATAATCATTATTCATTACTTAGTTGTACTTAACAAAATGAGTAATGTTGTTTTATATATTTTTTCAGACTATTCTAATTTTTTTATAGCAAATTTCACCATTATTATATTTATGTGCCATAAGAGTATAAAACATATGATAAAAATTATTTATAAGAGGGCATGTTTTGTTCAAATTTGAAATATTTACATCCAATAACGACATTTATCTTATTACCGCATCTACCATATAACCACGGGCTCCCCTACATAGCTTTGGCAACTAGATACTTGTATTTATTATGTATCATCGACAATGTTTCGCACGATTATATACATTATAATGCATTTTCAATATTGTTTCCGATGTAATACTAATACATCGCGGAAATGCATTCTAATCGTTCCCTTTTTCAAAGTAAGGCATTTGCAATAATATTTTTTTGCTATATTTTATATATGTAAAAATGCATTTTCGATTATGTTTATTTTCTGTAATAATTCGCGTTATAGTTTTAGCAGAATTACATTCGCTTTAGTGCACTACGTATTATTGTTAATGCGATATGACATTCGTAAAAATGTTTTCGCAGAAATATATTTACGTGGTATTAACCTTTGAGGTTAAGTATTTACTTCCGCAATAATACCTTTCGAGGGAAAAGATTTACTGTAATGGTGCGATACGGTTACCCATATATAAATTTATACAAATAATTTGTGTGATTATAAATAACAATTACGTAAAATTTAAAAAAATATGAGCGTGTTTTTTTATTAAATTTGCATTTAGAGTATGGCATATGTTGTTTGAATATCATTAAATTTTGCTTGAGCAAAATCAATACAAAAACATCCTAGATACATGTTAGCTATTCTATGTTTAATTTTCTTGTTCTTTCCTCCTTTAAATTTATTATATTACAACATATAGAAAACCAAAATATAATTTTGACCAATTCTCGAGATTTATGTAATCGTTGAGGTAGTAAAATTATATATTTTGAGATTCATAAATATTGATTTTCATCGAAAAACAAATCGTTCCAATATTAACTTGACTTAATAATAAATTACTATAAAAAACCTGGAATTAATTTTGACTCACAATGAACGATTTGTGATTTTTATTTTGCTATATCCAAATTACAAATATATCTTCTAACTAACTCTGATGTAAAAATATATCAAATCTTGATGTCGAAAAATATTTAGCTAAATTTTATTAATTGGAAATAAGTGTATCTGAAGCAATTATATCATTAATCTGAAGACTAATTAATTTCAGAATTTAAAGGGTTCGAAATGAATAATATATTATACTTAAGGATGTGTTTATAAATTTTTTAATTGTATATTTTGGCAGTGATAACAATTAGTACGAGCATATTTAAAATATAATAAAAACCAAATCAAAAGTACGACATCTGTAAATTGATCGAATAGCCTAGTTTTACTTATCAAGACTTAATCGCCAATACAGAATAAATTATTAAAAAATTGGGGCAATCGTAAAGAAAATTAAATTTTATGGATGATATTTTGATTAACCTTTATTAAAAAATGTTTAATTTTTTATTTTATTATGATTTACATACCTGTTTATATAGCTATGATATTTTTATCCATATTATATACACACTTAATATTTTAAATTTTTTAATATTTTATTATTTGTGTTCGAAATTATCCTATTTATAAATAAGATTATTTATAATAAATTTTATATGTGATTAGTTCTAATAAATTTTATATGATGATTAGTTCTTATAAATTTTATATTATGGTTAGTTCTAATAAATTTAAAATGCTACAGAAAACTATTTCAATATAAAACAAATTAACCCCCTAAAATATCTATACGCCTATATGATCTTGTAAAAATTTTCTTTCACAGTAACACAAAATGCAAATAATTAAGATATCCTAGAGGATTTAAATTACATTTAATTAAATTTCAATATGTCGCTCGCGAGGTATAAAACTCAAAAATAATATCAATTTTAATTTTATCTTATAGTTTATTGCCAACACCCGTTCAATCGTTTAGAACGACAGAAAATATTATAGACATACCAGAAAAAGTAAATAATTTATTATATATCATAATATATTTAAATATTAGTCCTTAGTTCAAATTCAATATGGACCTCCACCTTATTTACACAGAAACAATTATATTCCTCGGCATTCAGAGGTTAATCTAAAATATAAAAATATTTCTAAAGTTTAATTAGGATTATGGAGATGGTGGAGCTTTTCCTGAAATACAAATGGCACAATTCCCTCTTGAAATGGGAAAAACAAAAGTTGATATTTCAAGATCAAAGGTTCTTCCCTTGCAAGTTGATGCTGCAGGAAAAATACAGTATGATGCTATTGTTAAACATGGACATCATAAAGACAAAGTTATTTATGTTTCTCTCGGGATTTATTTAGGTATTTTTTTAGATTGTTAAATCAAAGTATGAAGATTTATTGCCAAAACCAATTGAAGAAGAGGAAAATTTTCAATTGCCCAAGGAAGACATGATTGCAGAGGTTATAAATTTAATTACACATAATAGTTGTTGCAAGATATTTTTTAATATATATAAGATACAACTTTTCTCAATATATATTTAAGATATATTTTTTATTATAACATTGAAAATCTATACTCAAATTATGAAATGAACTACCATATGCTCTCATGGGTCAAAAAAATATAATGTTTAATATCATTTTTTTAACAATTTTAAAAATTTGCTATGTAGTGATGGATTCTTTTCCATCAGTGTTACTATTAACAATTATCTGAAAATTTATAATAACACTAGTGATCTATAAGGCTCAGCTCGATCTCTTCCTTAGGTCTGAATTGACTTTGGTCTGGGGTGAGCCTATTTTAAAATAATTTTGGCTTGGGCTATGAAAAACATTTAGGCACAATGCAGATCTCTAATTAACACCATACTCATATTTTATTGTATAATGTGCAAAATCAGGGACATTATTGTTTTTCGGTTAAAAAAATTCCCATTTCAAAAGAGCTCACCAATTTTTTTTTAAATCTTACAAAATCTATTAAAGTTCAGACCAATTAAAACTTAAAAATAATAAACAAATTTTTTTGCTTTGGGGTTTTTTTAAAACTATATTTGGGGTTTTTATCGAATTAATTATTGAGTTTTGTTTTTAGTTTATGCAGCTTTTTTATATTTTATTTTGCTTTTCAAATAATTATTGTGCATTTTTAAAATCTACATTACTAGATTAATGATACTTACTACCGAGTCAACGTATAGCAATTTTCTAAATACTAACCAAAATTTATTAAAATGTAATAAGACCCTTATTTAATATATTATAACAGAATCACATGGTCAAGTCCAGCCTCCTATGTATCACCCCCCCCCCCTTTCCATTCCCCAAGGATGGAACCTCCATGTTAGATTAAGAAAAAAAACATTATTGCCAGGATTCAAACCCTTGATTATCGGATTGGTAAGTGACACTCCTGCCAACTAGGCCACAAAGGCTTTCCAAAAATCACGTTTTTTCAAATATATATTATAAATAAATTTGGTAGTGCCTATCCAAATGAAAAATAAACCAAATACAAATTTGATAGGTAATACCTTAAGGTAGTAAGCATCATTAACCACTTAACTATTAGTTCCCACTTCCCAGCCTCACCACCATTAAATGACATTTTATGGAGTTTAAGTTTATATGAATATGATACATTTTATAAGTATTTTAATGTTGTTTGGCATATTGTTAATTATAATTAACTACATAAAAATGTCTCTTATTTTCTCCTATAACATCTTTTACTTAAATTAAATATATTTAATATTAAATTTGTTATTTTAGACCAAAAATATTTTGAATATTTTAGCATTTATTAAAAGAGGAAAAGGCTCTCATCCAACTCTAAAGGATTGTAACTCAGGATATTTGAGTTAGGATTTTAAGATTTAGATTTGTATAGAGTATACAATCTAATTAACCTTTAGGCTACATTTCAGTCATTTTAAAAATGGTCAGCCAAATCACTGATAGAATTATCCAGTTCATAAAAAATAATCCGATCTCGATATCTAAAAATTTTAAAAGTCAGAATCAGATAAAGATTAATTGCAAAGACCACTTTTAAAATTGGTCGCACTCTGCTTGAACTGTAAATTTAATCTTCATTATTTTCAATTTATATTAAATTATTACTCTTTATTAGACCACAGAAAAGACAAGACAGGCATTGGAAAAATTAGTTTCAGGAAAAATAGCGGCCGCCATGCCAGTCAGAGCAGCTGATCAAAGAGCCCCTGCCAAATATATTAGGTTTGTTGTGAATAATAATTTTTAAACTGTTTTAATTTAAATATTTGATTGCACATCAAAATTGAATTCACAATTTATTTCTTTTTCAAATAAAAATTGTTTTCACTTTTGTCATTTTGCTGAGTAAATTAATATTTGTAAATTTTTCATTATTTATTTTTTCAATCAAGTGTTATCTTAAAATAAATTAAATTTAAAAAATTGAACAAAATCATTATAATGAATATGAAATGCTTTTTGAAATAAACTATTCAAAGATTTTTGAGCTCATAAAGTTTTTTTTTGAGAAGGCTTCAAACAAATTTTTTTTAAAAATAGTAATTAAATTAATATATTTTTATAAAGTTAATTAAAAAACACAACCCTAATCCCTAAGAAACTAAGTATATTTTATATATTAATTTTGAAAAACCTTATTTTATTTTTAGAACCTTGGTCTGGCCCAAGTTATAAATTTAATAGAGACCCACTCTTAGGCTGACTTATGGGCCTCTAGGTTCAGGTTGGACTAGGCCAAAAGACTTTTGGACGAAGTTAAAAAATTATGCCTTTATGGCCCAGGTCTAAAAAACAAAAAAATTATATTATTATGGACTAAGCCAGAAAATTTTTAAAATTATTTTATAGGTCGGGTATAAATGATACCAAACCGAACCAATTTTTTTCAACAAGTTCCATTGAGTGCTGGCCTATACCAATATATCTAACTTCAAATACAATATTTAAAAAATAAAAAGGTACACCGCATCTCAACAAAATACCAGCTTTAATTCTGGAGCCAAACAAAGAATAGTGAGGATGATGGATATGCCCAAAGACCCACTATCACCTCCCAGATTCAACGTTAACAAAAAAATTCCCAGAGGAGCTGGTTCACCTCCTGCCCCGGTTCTTCATTCCCCTACTCGAAAGGTTTTTTATAAATATATTATCGAAACACAACTTAAACTAAATTATAGTATATTGTGTTGAATTAGATACAAGTAATTAGGTGTGTTTCATTAAAGATGGGTACTGGGCCTAGTTGAAGATTTGCAAACTTTAAATTAATTTATGAGCATGGATCTAAATTATTTTATGAGCATGGATCAAATGCAATCCATGGTTTGGACGACTACTCAAACCCCGGCATTTATTTAGACCAGGGTGAGTTATGACTTATTTTAGAAAAAAAGAAAGTTAAAAAATTATAACCCAAATCGCTGAATAGTGTCTCCAATTTTAGTTGATGATTATAATTTTATTAATTGATAAGCTTCTACTAAAATTGAATAGTAAATAATATTCTAATTTATATTATTATATATTGTAAAAAAGTATAAAAATAACCTTTAAAGGCAGGTGTTTTTTAAAGGAGAGAGGGTTTAACTTTAAAACAGTCCTAAAAAAGACACTCTGAAGGTAGTATCGGGATATTTGGTAAAATTATTTGATTGTTGGTAAGTTATATATATATAAAAGGTCCATTACTGATAAAAAATTTATTTAGACCAAATCTAACATTAATAAAAAAAATAATAAAGGTCACAGTCAAAGAACAACAAGACTGGAAAATTCCTCCTTGTATTTCCAACTGGAAAAATGCTAAGGTAATACAGACACTATTTTAAATAATATTTTTTATTTGATTTATTTTCGATACTTTAGTTTTTTTTTATAATCTGTTATAACCTAATCAGGGCTATACCATACCTCTAGACAAAAGACTGGCCGCAGATGGTAGAGGTCTACAAGAGGTCACAATCAACGAAAATTTCGCGAAATTAGCCGAAGCTTTGTATATAGCTGATAGGAAGGTTTTTTTTAATATCTAAAATAATATATTTTTAATTCTTTTATATTGTTTCTTACTATGAGTAAATTAATTTTAGACATAGCCTAAAAATTAATTTATTGTCCATCTTTTGAAAAAAAATTAGGCGCGTGAGGCTGTCGAGATGCGAGCTCAAATGGAACGCAAACTAGCTCAAAAAGAGAAGGAGAAAAAGGAAGAACATCTGAGACTCTTAGCTCAAAGAGCGAGGGAGGCCCGTGCCGGTATCAAGCAAACTATCACCGAGCATCTGGGAGCAAACAAAACGGCCGGGGGAGCTAACAGGGAAGGAGATACAGGTTTGGTTTTTTTTGTCGTTTTAATATATTATATTTTTTATTCTTTCATTGGCCAGGATAATGAAATTAGAGTCATGGCTCAATAGCTTTTCACTTAATTAGATTCTGTATCAAATATGGAACTATCTGAGTTTAGTACATTTCCTTCAGTTTTTACTTTTTCACTATCCTTTGCTAGATTTAGAAGTTATACCCTCATTAATTCATTCAAATTAGAATCTTCTTCTTATCAACATTCTGTGATCTATCCTTATAAAAAGCTATTTTCTTAGTGAATTTAAAAGATGTTTCAAACTTTAGACTTATACCAGTTGGTGGCAATATTTAATTATTCACAAAATATTAATCACAATCTTAGTTATTTTTTTATGTTACGGCTTAGATGTTCCTTATATTTGATTCAAACTCCCATCTTTCATTTTTTTATGTGTAGATCATGTCGAAAATGTTTTCTTTTTTCGAAGCTAATTGCCATAATAGGAAAAGTTTATCTTGCGCTAACGATCTTTCATTTTATTTCACATCTCATGGTGTATATTACATGATTAGCCTTGTATCATAAATGTATTTTATCAAGTCATTTTGTTATTTTTGCAACGTGCTTTTACATTCTAAAATGTTCGAGAATATAGCTATGGGATTTTAGCTTAATTGAGGTTAGGTGAAAAGGATTTGAGGACCTGCTTTGATGGGTTAATGGCAGAGTTGTGAACCTTGTAAATATATTAGGCTTTGGTGGGCTCCGTTCAGGGGAATATTTTTGAACATAGGTTTGGTTCTGGGTTTAGGAATATTTGAATTGTATATAAAAAAAATTTGTATATTTAAAACATAATTAAAAAACTAGACATAAATTTGGTAGAAAAAAATTTATAGGTAAAATATATTTAAAGCATAGTCATGTACAGGGTTGCCATGTTTCCCCCCATCAGTGAAAGACTTCCTCAATTTTTTAGTTTACATGCAGACAGAGCAAAATTTTTTAAATACTATCTTTATTATTAAAATAACATCTTGATTTATTAAAATATATTAATTTAATAAAAAAAATCTACGAACTTTTTAAATATAAAAGAATGTAAACAAGATAAAATTTTACAATGTAAAAAAAATATTTATTATATGCGATTGTATAAATAAGATTTTATTAAATATTATTAAAAGAGTTATAATGTTAATAATTTTGTTTAATCATTAGCTCGGCCTTAAAGTTCCCTTTCTCCAGGCAGTCCTCATCAGGCTAAAAATGCGTTCTGGTGAGGCATTAGAATGAAACAGGTTTTATTGTATTATGAAAAAAATCCATCCATTTCTCTTCTTCTTTTAGACAATATTTTAAAATGTTTGTAATCAAAATTGGTTTGAAAACATATTATGACTTTGGAACAGAGAATATCTATTGATTTAAATTAATATATTAAAAATACCGATGGGCATTGATGTCTTGTTTGATGAGATTGTAATTCTCTCTATTTTTTATGATTCGCCAAAATACTTAAACGTAGATGGTCTAAAATCAGAGAAGAATTGGGTGGAATTTTTTCGTAATAACGATAAAACCCCCTGCTTGGAAAAGAATGCGAGTATGCTTTCTCCTTACCTCATTCTAATGCCTCATCGGAGCTCATTTTTAGCCTGATGAGGACTACCTGGAGAAAGGAGAGAAATCGGATTGCTCTGACAACATTAGAGGCCGAGCTAATGGCTAAACAAAATTATAATATTTTATGCCAGGAATTTTATAAATATCTTTCAACAAAAATATAATTAACTTATAACTATTTAATTTTCCATATTTAATAAATCAAGATGTTATTTTAATAATGTAGTATTTAAAAAAATTTTGTCTCAGACAATAGTCATCCATTTGAAAAATACTTACCAACTTCGTATTTATATAAAGTAATTATAAAAAATAATAAGCGAATAACTAATTCAAAATCTCGGCCAAAGGCCTCCAAGACCTGTTCACTCATCCTCGATCTATGCAGAGAAAGAATGAATTTCAACGAAAAAGATCCTTCAACGCTAACCTATATTAAATATATTTAAAATTAACTTGTGTTGCAGGAATATTAAATAAGATTATGGATAAAGTATATAAATTAAGGTGCTCCAGCTTAGCAGACTCCCAAAAATGGAAAATAATTTCCTTTTTATCCAATCTTATAAAATGGCTAAATCTAGTCATCATCTTTCCAATACCTTTCTCTGCAATCGTTGGCCCTCTTTTAAGTATTTTCTTCTGCCTTTCTCTAAAACAGCTTGTTCAATAACTTCATCCAAACTATTATCATCTTATGGAATGGGTGTGGATATGGTTTTAATCTGAGTTCGGGTTCAGAAGTTTTTTACGTTTTCTAAACCCTGATTAAGGGGATAGTTTTTAAAACATTTGAGAAGAAAAAATATAATTTGATATAGAGGGATATATAATCTAGAATGATATTTAATATAAAAACACTTTCAATTTCATTAATAACTAATAAATTCTTATTTATAATATTTTTGTTTCCCTTAACAGACAAATCGGAATTTCTGGAACGCGAACAGCTAAGGCAGGATAGACACAGGGACAGGCAAAGAGAACGAAATCTCGCCAAGGCTGCGCCCGATAGAAAGTTCATTTTTATTATTTTGTTGAGTAATTGATTTTTTTTTGATAATTTTTTAAGGTAGGTTTGGACTACCACCTTTTGAAACTTTAAAAAGACACATTTAATCTGATCATTGGCTTTTAAAACATTAATATAGGTTGATAATATATTAGCGGCATTGTTTTTTTTACTTACAATGTGTTATTTTTTCAACTTAATCATTTTCAAGCGCTTTTTTTTAAATTTAAAGATCTTATTTAACCGGGAATGTAATCTAGCATGTTTAGAATGTCTATGTTATGAATTGTAGATACTTCTGCTATCAACCTTTGGGTCACTTATAATTCATATACAAAATCTATGGAAAAACTAATAAATTATATTAAGCTCAAAAGTTCATGGCGAAATTGTCTGGAATTTATAGGGTAGGTTCCAAATAGAATGAAATACATTTCCGGTGAAACCAGATTTTTAGAGTTAGAATAAATGATATAAAGTTGAAAACACATTGTCGTAAACATATATTTTTTAAAAAAATTATTTTGAATATAAAATTATTTGCCTCCTCCCTCAGATTTACCTCTTAGCAATAAATTTATATTATTTTTAAGGGGCAAGATGGAGAAGGAGAGAGATATCAGTGAAAAAATAGCTCTGGGAGTGCCTAACCCTGGGTTTAACAAACAAGGAGACATTTTAGACTCTCAATTCGATCAAAGGCTATTCAACCAGTCCAAGGTTAGTTAAACATTTATGTAAAATTATTAGTGTTAGATTGAGAGTGTGGACATGAGAATTGTTTGATCCATAATTTTGGAATTTGGGCAAGGTTTCCCGTTTGAATATTTTTCAATATAGTTCAAATTTGATAATTTTAAAAGCAATTGACACTATTGATCTGCATTGGGCCTGATTTTCAAGCCCGGCCTGGCCCAAAATTTTTTTATAAAAGTTTTGCCCAGCCCGAATTTATTTAAATATAGAAATTAATTTTTATAATTACTCAAAATAAAAGACATATGTTATATGTCATTCAGTTTCAATAAATAAAATCAAATATTTTTATTTTATATAAAAAATTCAATATAAAATTGATAAATTTAGATATATTTAAAAAAAATTCCAAAGTCCGACCCGGCCCGAATTATTTTAAATATAATTAGGCCCGAGCCCGGCCAGAAACCCGTTTGGGCCGGGTACGGGCCTGGTCTAACCTTGCAGATTTCTAATTGACACCGTTCGGTTTATTCAAGAGTGATAGTATAAAATAGGAAGAGTTAAGTAAATGAGATACATTTTTGGATAAGCGAAATTAAAAAAAATAATAAAAATAAATTTTAAAAAATGTTTCAATTTTTTGTTTATAAATACTTTAGGGGATGGACTCTGGATTTACAGCTGACGACGCTTACAACGTCTATGATAAACCATGGCGGGATACTGCCACGCTCGGCCATTCCATATATAGACCGTCAAAGGGAGTCGCTGACTCTGACGCCTATGGGGACGACTTTGATGCGCTTGTTAAGACCAATAGGTAAACATTTTAAAAAAATACATTATGGAAGGTCTCTGAAATTCTCTTTTTGTTCGACCTTATTTATTAAATACTTTATTTTAAATTTTTTCCCAACTCTAATATTAAAAACTAGTTGAAAATAAATTATATTCTCACCCCCTTTTCCAATAAGACACAACTCTATTCTGTTTTTTAAATACAGATGTTGGTTTGAAGAATTGAATTATTTTTTTTGATAAACAGATCCAAATTCGTATAACTTTACCTTTATGTAACGTTTTTTCCAAGAATTTTTGAACATTGATATAATTTAAATGATTCTCTGATTTCGTTCTTTTCAAATTTTGATAAATTTGAGATTGTTGATTTTAAACCAATGAATTTATGGTGTATTTGGAATTTTAAACGACTATCTATCTTTTTTAAAACATTTAAAATCTATATTTATTTATGTCAGATTTGTTCCCGACAAACCATTTTCTGGGCTGGAGAGTGGTAGGGAAGACGAACCCGGAACTGTGAACAGACGTCAAGGCCCAGTTCAGTTTGAAAAGCAGAGGAATACTGAAGATCCTTTCAATTTAGACAAATTTTTGGGTTCTGTCAAGAAGGCAGCAGGGCTGTCTGAAACGCCATCGTCCAATTCCCAAAATTCAGGGAAGAAAAGACTGGCCGGAAATCAAGCTCCAGAAAGGGGAAACAAAAAAAGATAATAAAATTGTATTTTTTAAAAAAAATATATCGTCGTTAAATCTTTAAATTAATAAAAAGGACTCTCTTTGAAATATATGTTTTACTTCATATTTATTTATTTTAAAAAAAATTTTCATATTGTTGATTATATATAATGTAATGGGAATATTTAAGGCTATTTTAATTGTTATTCAATGTAAAACTCATTATATTTGAATTTGAATCCTTAAACGCATCCATTTATCAAATAAACTATAATATGTAGAATTCATTTATTAACCCAAATTAGCAAAACATTGCAGAGTTTTCTCTGCAGAGTTGACTAAAATTATAAGATCAAGATAATATTCATTTTATAAACCACCATTTTAAAGGTCGAGATTATTAATTAACCCTTTACTTTCAGGCTCCCTTTACATATTAAGAGTTTTTGATTTTTTTATTATTAAAAGAGATGTGATACATTAGATATTATAACGTTTAAATAATGTGACATTTGCAATGAAAAATTGATAGAATATATTAAATTGGTTGAAATAAGATAAAAATAAAAACATTTTTGGCATGGAAACATGGATCAATAATATTTTAGCTGAAATTTTTTACCTAGCCACATTTTCACTGACTCACCAAAATTCTAATTGATCAGTTGTTCGAATATGAGTTCAGCTCTCAAATCAAGGTATGAAATGTGCATGCCTTTTATCATAAAAAATATAACATTACCACCTATAACCAGATTTCAAGGTAAATTAAAAACCCCATTAATTGTATGATCATCACGCTATTCTAACTGCTAAGTTAATTGTAATGATTCAGGGGAAAACCGATTTACAGTGATAGATTTAAAGGACGCGGATAAATAACCAGAGTCCCAAGAATATTTGGTCACTAGACCCATAAGGGATATTTTTGTTACCGGAGGATGCCTTTTAGGCTTTCTTGTGCACCAATTATTTTCCAGCGTTTTATGGACAATGTTTTGAAAGACTGACCGATGGCTGGAATGTATCTGGACTATGTAATTATCTCTGGTTAAAATGAGTCGAACAACTGGCTAATCTAAAAATAGTACTCGATAGACTGCAGGAAGCAGGTCACAAAGCCAAATTTCAAAAGGTTTTTACTGAATTCTATATCATTTTTAGGTATTATTATCGACCAGAATGAGGTACATTCAAGCGAGGGAAAGATAAAAGCAATCCAGGACGTGCCTAATTCCAAGAATGCTCATCAGATATGTTTATTTCTTGGTCTTGTCACGTATCATGAAATCTTCATTTCCAATTTTCATAGTTAAGCAGAAATGTTACACCGATTGACTAGCGTAAGAGTAACATGGTGTTGGAACAGGTGGTTTTCGACAAAATTAAAACACTGTTATAGGCAGATTAACACCGTAAAAGCTCAAATGCCGTTAATTATGGAGTGTGATGCTTCAGATACAGAGCTTGTAGTAGTTTTACCCCATCAAGTTTCAAATAACCATGAAGAATCGATAGAATTTTTGTCTCGGACCTTTGTTGCAGACTGAAAAATTGTAAGCTCCAATGAAGCAAGGGCACTTGTTCGGAAGAGAAAAATTGCATAAATTCTGTGGTCTAAACTTTTTATTTCGGACAGACCATAAGATTTTGGAACGGTTATTCGAGGAAAAGAGTAATCTTCCCAAGATATCAAACAAATGTCTGACTCTCGTTGGGCTTGGAAGATGGCCGTAAAGATTTTAAAGTGGATCACAGACCGGTTTGTGAGAATCTTCTAGCCGACGCATTATCTAATTATCTAGGTTACTGTTGTGCGATATTATACCAAATCGAGAAACATAACACGCCTTGGCGATTCATAGTATCAACTTAAAGGATATACAGGTTTCAGAGAAAAACCTACAGAGGATTTCGGTACAAGATTCTATATTAAAACGAGTAGCACGACATATCGTGCAAGGTTGGAGAGGTTTTGGGATGGAAGAACAAGATTCAGTATTCCAAAGGAATATTCAAATGGAAAGGTAGATTGATAATTTCAACTAAATTTAGAAATGAAGTTGGAAACACATTGGGTACATCCTGGAATAAACGCTAAAATCTATCTTTGTATTCTTGATGCCTAAAGGTGAAGAGGACATCGAACGATATATAAAGCTTTGTATTGGGTGTCAAAAAAATCGACCAAACATATGGAGTTACCCTTATGCTCATCGAATATTACTAAAGAGCCACGAAAGCATATACATCTAGATTTAAAGGACCGGTTGACTCTCTATATTGGTTAGTTGGAGTAGATTTATATTGAAAATGAGCAGAGGTAGACTGATAATAAGTACATCGGCTAGAGATAATAACGAGAATAAAAAAGTGGTTTGCTACCTTAGGTTCCTAGTATTGTAACTGGCAATGGACCTCAATTTATTTCTAGAGAATTTAAGCTATATTCTGAGAAAAACATTTTCCAGATTCGTTCAACGCTATACCATCCGAAGACAAATGTGTAGATGGAACGAACCATTCGGACCTTGAAAGAAAGGTATTATGCCAGTCGAGAATCAACTAATGACCCGCAAGAAGCAATGACTTAAAAGAAAAGCTTATAGGCTGGGAGAACATAATTCAACGGGTAGGTCGCTTTAACAAAGATTATGTTCAATCGTCAGATAAGAATAGATTGGCTAGACAAAAGTTAGAAAATGAGATAAATAAATCCAGTAATAAAAAGTCGAGAACATGACACAAGTTCCAATGTAAGGAAATTAGATGTTGGTCAACATGTTTGGATAAGGAACGAAACAAGTAAGGACTGGAGAGAAGGAATAGTCTAAGATAGGAAGATGTTAAATTCATTTGTAATGGAGACGCCAGATCGCATCCTGAGATAACATGCTGACCAGTTAAGGAACCTTGTGATAGCAGATACAATGCACAGGTGATGGCGGGCAGCGCTCATAGGGAATCGGATGAAACGTCAAGACGAGAGCGAGCACACAAGCCACCAAAACGAATGATTGAAGAGATGTAGATGTTCCTCTCAATTGGGAAATGTAGGAATATATTGTAAAATAATATTTATACATTATGAATTATTATAATGATTAATATAATATTGGATGAGGTTAACTACCTAATACTAATACCCATAGCATCAATTATAATTTCTACAATCGATACCATATGATTAACAACCTTATGAATGTATATATTAAAGATTGAATAAACCAGGATTAGTTTAGTTATATATAATTTGGATTTCAAGTTTTATCTGTTCCGATAAAGGAACAACAATTTTATGTAAAAAATAATTTTTAATGAAAGTCCCTTTTATTATTTACACAACAATTTAGAAAAATCTATTTAAAAAAATTGAACTATAATTTATAAAAAAAATTACTTAGCAAAATCGATTATGGTTTTTAATATAATATGGAAAAATCAGTAAAAATCCTTATCTTTCAGTATTTTATGAGAAAATTCTAAGTATTTCAGAATAATTGTTAAAATTTATAAAGCACATTTTTAAAATTTATGTTGGAGGGAAGGGGGTAATTTTTTTGACGTAATATGAATATAACCATGAGTGAGGAAAAGAGACTAGAAAGAAATTGGCAAATTTATTTTTCATCAAATTAAAAGGTTGCATGATTACTTAATAAACTATAAGTAAAAAAAAGATCTTTAAAAAAATTTCGCGCTTATGATTTAAGGAACGTTATTGGGTAAATTAATATATAATGTTTGTTTTCCTTTAAATAAATGCATTTGCAATATTTTTAAATTTATTGTTTCGCCATAATGACTTCGCGCAAATAGATTTGTGGTAGAAAATTCGCTATAAAGGATTCTTGATAGAAGTTTTATTATACCGAGTTCGCGATAAAAGTTTCTCTAAAATGTATTTGCTCTAAAGTATTTCAGGTTAAGGTTTGGTGGATATAAATTCTGGATAATGAGTTCACGATATTGTGTTCGTTATATGTTTCGAGGAAGAAAAAAATCGTAGAATTGGTTTCGAGATAAAACCTTTCGCTATAAAATTCCTTCCCGATGAACGACATTGGGTGGTAAGAGATTCGAGAAAAAGTGTTTTGTGTAATAAGAGTTTAGCTAAATTGACATTATACGGAATTTTTTGATTTGAGGTTGAAGGGGGTTCTCCTACCCTTTCCCTTTTTGGCTAGATATGCCGATGCTACTTACATTAAGTAGTAGTTAAATAATACATTTTATTACTCAAATCTCTTTGTAGATAGTAGAACGGGGAAATAAATATTGGTAAGAAAATTTATTAGGCTAAAATTTATAATAGAGATTTGGTTTGATATTTAGTGCCCTTACCCATTAATTCTTCAATCAATTTCGCTAATCACAAAAGAAATAATCAAATAAAAGCTTAACTCTTGAAACGTGAGGGCAAGCCAAATTTCCGAAAACAATAACTTTAAAAACCTAAAACATGATTTAGTGCGTATTTAGTATACTATAAATGCTTAAACCATATATAGTTTATGGCTAAATATAAGAAGAAAAGAAGATATCTTGATTTGTATAATGTTATAGAGATAAATAGATAAGTACTGAATATATGGGTACGCCAATGTTTAATGCTTGATTGGTATACTTACAATTCATCAGTTAGTTTTCCAGTTATTAAACCGAAACGAGTTATAATTATATATAAATTATAATGGCACACTTCCTGTTTAATTATTGGATTATAAAATATAATACAAAAAATTGTTAGAACCTCTAAGCCCAATCTAGTGGCTTAAGCCATGACCTCAAAAGTTCATTAAATTTATCCAAAATAAGTTAATAATTTTTTTTTTTTAAATTTTTATAAATAATTATTTTATTAAATTTATAACAATAAAAATTTCCCTTTAAATTTTATTTTTTTAAATTTTCCAAAAAAAAAAAGAAGAAAATAAAATGAATAAATATTTTACTTATCTCTCAGGTCTCATTTTAATTTTAGCATGTACTCAAAGAAAAAAAAATTCATTCACAAAAATATTAAATATTTTTTTTTTATCATTAGCTGTGGAAGCCAATCCAAGTAAATAATTAGTTCTTTTATTTAAGGAAAATTTGAAAGAAGGCCATATACAGCTAGGTCCTACATCAAACCGGTCTACTTGGGCTTATTTGTTTTATTAGCCGGTCGGGTGGCGGCATAAAGTTTTTATAATTTTTTTTTTTTAAAC